ACTAGCTGGAGCCTCCGGGTGCTCCTCAAGGGAAGCCCCATGTAGAGAGCATTACAGTAGTCCAGGCGGGAGGTGACCAGAGCATGAGTGACTGTGCGCAAGGCGTCCCGGTCCAGAAAAGGCCGCAACTGGTGAATCAGGCGGACCTGATAAAACGCCCCCCTGGTCACGGCCGCCAACTGGTCATCCAGTGTCAGCCATGAATCCAGGAGGACACCCAGATTGCGTACCCTCTCCGAGGGGGCCAACGTTTCGCCCCCTATAGTCAGCGATGGAATCAGCTGACTATGCCGAGGCGCCGGCAACCACAGCCACTCGGTCTTGGAAGGGTTGAGCCTGAGTCTGTTCCTCCCCATCCAGACCCTCACGGAATCACGGAGTCAGGAGGGACCTTGGGGGTCTTCTATCCAGTCTCATCTAGTCTTTGGAGAAGTTGTCTCTGTGTGCACTTAGCGTGCAGGTGTCTTAGTGTGTCTTTGTGCCAGACTTTGAGCAATTACTTGGCGATAAGAAGCTGAGCCCCCTCTACAGTCAAGGAACACCGGGAGACTTACGACTTAACCGGAATTCGTTTAGGGACCGTTCAAAGTTACAACAGCACCCCCAAAAATGTGACTTACATCCATTCCTCACCCTTAACAACCATTGCAGGATGAGCAAAATCCGGATGCTTGGCAATGGATTCGTGTTTATGACGGTCGCAGAGTCCCGGGGTCACGTGATCCCAATTTGCGACCTTCCGACGAAGCGGAGTCAATGGGGGGGGGGAAGCCATATTCACTTCACCGCCACGGCAAGGACGGTCATAAAGCGGGCAAAACTTCCCTTCCTTTAGTCTTGCTTAGCGGTGGAAATGTTGGGTTGCCTTGTTGTCGTAAGTCGAGGACTCCCTCCAGCCGCCTCCGAAGTGGGACGCCCCCCATCGGGAAGCGGAGGCAGATTTGGGGAGGGGCCTCTCAGAAGAGGAGGCTGGGGGCGGAGATCTTACCTCAAGTGGCAAGCGGTTCCAGAGGCCAAGAGGTTCCCGAGATCCCCTTCTTCCTACTTCTTTGCCCACCCTGGTTTTGCTCGCCCGCGTTAGCTAAGAGGCCTTTCCTCCCAGCCCGCTCCTCACCGTCCTTTCTGCCTCTGCTTCCTCCAGCGGCCTCCTACACCGACAGCTCCGATGACGAGACCTCTCCGAGGGACAAGCAGCAGAAGAGCACCAAGGGCAGCAGCGATTTCTGCGTGAAGAACATCAAGCAGGCGGAATTTGGGCGCAGGGAGATCGAAATTGCCGAACAAGGTGAGGGAGGGAGGGAGGGAGGGCAACTCGGCTGCCTCAGTTTCCTGGGTCAAGATTTATATCTTAGTCTGGTCTGACGTGACTTGGTGGGACTCGATTGACAGGCTGCGGCTTGGGGAGGGGCCATGTCTGTCCTTGTGGGTTGCCCATCCTGCTATGCCCCTGGGGGCCATAGAGCCAGTGGGGTCTAGGGGTGAAGCCACCGGGCTAGAAGAAGCAATGAGTTCTAGTCCCGCCTTAGGCATGAAAGCCAGCTGGGTGACTTTAGGCCAATCACCGGGAGATTGGGAGTTCTAGTCCCGCCTTAGCCATGAAAGCCAGCTGGATGACTTTGGGCCAATCACCAGGAGACGGTGAGTTCTAGTCC